TGGTACTGGGAATTGAACTCAGGGGCACTTGACCACTGAGCCACATCCTTAACCCTATTTTGTATTTTTATTTTGAAACAAGGTCTCACTGAGTTTCTTAATGCCTCACTTTTGCTGAATCTGGCTTTGAACACACAATCCTCTTGTCTCAGTCTCCCTCCTGATTGGCTGGGATTACAATTTTTCTTCAAGCCTTCAATGTCTTTCTCTAGCCTTTGACATAATTGGCCATTTCCCCCATCTCTTGGCTCTCTGACACTGTGCTATTTTTATTCAGATTATATACCTCTTCCTTTATCCAACAAACATAATTTGGTTAATAGATCTATTAGGTCATTATTTACTACAAGGTCAATCTTAAAAAAAAAAGACTTTGAACCATTGATGTAGAAAAGTACATGAATTTCAGATCCTATGATGTTTGCCATGGCAATTGTTTTATTTATTAAATTGTGTTCATTGAATCTTTGATGGTAAGTAGAGGAATACTTTAAAGACAAGTGCGATCTCTGACTGGTATCAGTGCCATCTCCTACCCCAGGTTTTTAATGAAAATATTAGAGAAAGGAAATGTTTAATGACTGATTAAATAGAGAACATTACCAAGATGAATTTGATGTTCTTTTACCTTTCCCTCTCTAGTCTCAACAATTATTTTTCCATCATATTCAGTCCCTTTAACCATAGCCTCAATATATGAATTCTTCCCATCACAAACCCAGTATTTCTTCTTCCCTGAAGAGAAAACAACAACAAATATACTACTGTTATACTACTTGTAGAAATATCCACTGGGTATGTTCATATTGATTGACATGATCTCCTTTCTAGTAAATCTGCTTATTGACTTGGAGCCATAAAAATATATAAAATTGTGAAAGTCATATAAAATCATATCCTGAAAATGCATATCCTGAAAATACACTCACATGATGATTCTATAGGAAAAAAACAATGTCTCAGCAAGCAGAGGTTTATATTTCCATCTAACTCATTATCCACTGGTTTTCCATTTGTTGTTTGTCTTTTAAATATGGGGTTTGCTTTGCATTTAATATTTTTGTCCATTTATGCAAACACTGATTTTGCCTTGTGTTGTGTTTACAAAAATATGCTTGTTTTTTAAAAATTCCCATTTAGCATATATTTTGTATGTGTATGCTTCAAGTAAATGCTGTGCATTTCAAAACAAATATCATCAATTGAAAGAAATTTGAAGATAACCTGGAAAAGTGTCTCCTCTCCCCCATTTTCTTAGTAAATAATCCAGGAAGAGAGAGATGTGCATAATACCATAGTTACATAGCCAATTAGTGACAGTCAATAAAACAATGATTCTATAAATTAGATCACCCACCTCCTAAATCAGTGCTCCTCCATTATAGCGTGCTTTCTTTAGCGAATGCTTAGCTTTTCTACCTCCAATTTTTTATCTCAATCAGTAGGTTCACACCTGCCCCATGATGCACTCTATTTCATTACCTCCAGAAACAGTAGGAGAAAGTACTTTTTGGAAAACCTTTCCTATGTGAACTTCAGGCCCTTGCAGGGATATTTTAAAAAAATGAAAGTATATGAAATCTGTCAACTTTTTCCTTAAGATTATAAACAATGCAGAGCTGGAAATGCAAACTGCAATGTATTTGAATCAGGGAAGATGAATTTTAGTACTGACTTTCCTACTTATGATATATAAAGCAATCATCTCATCTCTTAGAGACTTGATTTTCTCATATGTAAAGTGAAATTTTTGCTTACATGATTTCATAGATTTAGATGATTAAATATCTTGTACAATATAAAGATGACATCATTTATTGGAGAAAATGTAAAGAGAAATGTATAAAGAATTTAATAATCTACCCACAAACAACTCAGAAGTAACTGCTATTATCTCTCTCTGAATATTTTTTTATGAGTCCCTTTTTACGGTATTGAATAAAATTAGAAGGATTGTTCAAAAAAATTAAAAATGTTGTTGACTGGTATATTTTGAGTAACTATTTACAATGCTGATTCTACTAAATGAATCATCCAATCATCTCTAATATTTTGGTTCAATTTTGATTTTCTTCCTGCCACCACTATTGTCTTGTCCTTAAATGTCTAACTATCTGTGATAAACTTGTGTATAAACAGCCAGACTTCAGGAATGCTTCTATTACTGTATTTGACTTGATGGATTATAATTAGGTACTCTGAAATTTAATCACAGTAATGAAATCCAATGACTGGACACTGGGAACTGATCCAAGTCTGATTGATATGATGGAAATATAATGTCTTAAATAACTAGCTTGAATTATAATTGATATTACTAAAGTCTAATGTTAACTAATTCTGGATACTAGAACAACATTCACTTTTTATGGTACACTGTTAAATGATTTTGGAATTAAAGCACATATGTGACCTGATTCTAGACCACACTGTGAATCTGATTTCTTAATCTCCAATTAGCTGAAACTTGGAGGATGGCTATGTAGCCCGGACATGTAAAGGGAAAGGAGATAAAAGGTAACATGTATTTAGAGATTTTAGTGTAGAACTTGGCCTTTTTCTTGAGACTAACCTTATTAGCCTTTGTTCTTGTATAAAAGGACCAAAAAATTATGAATTGCAGTGAGTGAATTACCTTTCCTTTAGTGTCGGCCCAGTGACTGCTGACATAGGAGACCACCAGAGGGCCAAGTTCCAACATTAAGAAGTTCTGAAGAGGACCAGAGACAAATTCTCATTCTCCTTGCCATAACGTTTCCCATTCATTTTTCTTACAGCGTACAATCTCTACCTCTGGGTTAAGTCACTATCTAGTCTCTCTCTCCTAAGGCATTTATTCACCTACAACTAAGTCTTCTAAAAATGTCTTTATTGGTGGTCCTCTCCTGGGTCATAAATGTTGTAATAGTGGCTTCTGAAAAAAACACAACTGTCTGAAGGCCAAGTGAGTAAGGCCTGGGCCACCTCCCAGCTATCTTTCATTCCTAGTGTGGACACTCTGAGCTCTTCATTGCTCAGAGTCAGAGATTCATAGAGGCTGATTCAACCCCAAGCAATAAGTTTGGCTCCAGAACTGATGGCTCCTCTCAATCAATCAAATATCATAGTTGCCACCTTAAAGTAGTAAAATGAGTGAAGCCAACAGACATCATGAGTCTTACCAACCAAGGTCATGGTCTGCAGCAGAAGCAAGTCAGCTTCACTTCTGAGGAAGGTTGAAGCTTCATCAAGCTCTAACAGATCCATGCTTCTAAGGATATTCTCTGAAAAAGGGTAGGCCTAAAAGTGAGCTGAAAGCATTTGCTCAAGATAGGTAAGGAAGCATCACGTGCTAAAGTGAGAAATGATTCACCGCTGACACATAAAAGAGGGTTACTTTTCTTTTATCCATCGGTGCCCCTTTTTTCTCTCTGGCACATCTCAAGTTCATGTAAAACGGAACTCAAGAACATCTGCCTCTCACAAAGCCGAGTCACCTATCAGGATGGAAGTCACAATGCCAAGGGTCCACAGTGCTCTCAGGGACGCATGAAAATGTTTTGTCTTAAGACAAATCAGAAGAAAAATATGAGTGTAATATTAATGACAGATAAAATAAACCAGCCCAGATTATATTTGTCTTTACATCAACACAACTGTAAACCTACCTTAATATTTCTCTGTGGATAAAGGGTCCCCACAAGATAAAAGTGCCTGCCTAGGACCTGTGAAAATCACAAGGCAACTTTTACCCACACAGTTTGGACCTTGGCAGATGCTAGAATAGGCCAGAGCAACCAATATCAAGCTGTAGAGAGTAGGGGCCTTGGCAGGAGTAGAAGAAGGGCTTTGAAATATGTACCTGTATCCAGGTATATTGAGCATCATAGCCAGAACATGATGACAAGGGGAGGAAGTTATTGAGATACAAGTTCAGTTTTAGAGAATAAAGGAATGAAAACAATGAGTATCCTGACAGAGAAGAGTGTCTAGAGAAGATGGTTTACAAAAACTTCACATAGGCAGGAAGACTGGATTAGGGCAGGGGTGGAAAAGCAGGAAGTGGGAGCCAGCAGGTTGTGGGGAGAAGGACATGGAACAGGTTTGAGTGAAGGAGTTCATTGGCTTAAGTCAGTATTGGAGGGATTGAGTTACTGAGTAAGTAAGGCTAAATGCATTGGACATTCTCCCTTTACCAAATAATTTACAATATTATTTCATTTTCATACTTTATATTGATAACAGGGAGAAGAAGAAAGGGAAAAACAGGTCATTGTGATCCCAAATGAAAGCACTCTTTCTCTGAGTGGACAAAAAATTCTCCCTCTCCACTCAAGTGTGCAAGGCAAGTATCACTGGCCCCATTACAGAGAAGGTGGAGAGTCACTCATCCACTTTGCTTAACTCAGATGCTGCACCAGAGGACTCCTCAGCACCCCAGTCTACCCACTCCAGAATGAACCGTGATTACTCTCTTGTGTTACTTGTACTTACACACAGTAACAATGAAGAAACCCAATAAACTAATGCATTTACCACACTTAACTCTTTTCTTCATAGCTGCTTGTTAACATATCTGGAATTGATTTTAATGAAATGTAGGATAAAGCAAAAACTAGTGGTCAGGGTAAAAGTTATTTCTATCTCTTTCAGAAAATAGGCATGAGCCTTGTAGGAAATCATTTAATCCTGGTAGGCACAGTTTTCTTACCCATGCAATGCATGGTTTAGGTATAATGTATAGGAACATTCCTTGAGCTGAAGAGGAGAAAAGATCCTCAAGTGAAACAACATAAGCAAATGTCCAGGAGATGGGACTGAGTTGTGATATTTCTCATGGGAAAAAGATAAAATTGACCTTTCTGCAGGTAAGCATTCACATTTAAGATTTGTAATTATTAACAATGTTAGGAACACTATTAGATATTTTAATAAATTGAACAGCATGATTAAAAAACTCAGAAACTTAGCCAGAGAAATTGAGAAATTGATTATAGGAAACATTATTGACTCCTGGAGCAGAGACATGTAGAAAGCAGTACTTTAGGAAAATAGCCATGGCAGCCTGTCTGGATGGTTTGGGACAGGGAGAAGCTATAGTCAGAGAGACAAGTTGTATGGTGCATTTGGAACAAAATTGTACTTTATCCAATTCTGATCTCAGTGGTGACTTCCTCATGGTTTGCATTCAATGGACAGTAGAGTTCAAGGAGTATATTTGTGATATTGAAGATATCTAAAAGTGTGTGTGTGTGTGTGTGTGTGTGTGTGTGTGTGTGAGAGAGAGAGAGAGAGAGAGAGAGAGAGAGAGAGAGAGTGCACGCATGTGCACGTGCATGTGTACAAATTTCTAGAATGTACCTAAGAAACAAAATGGGAACAAGAGATGTGTGAGAAGAGAGAAGTAAGTTTCATTCAACTGCATTCAAACCTCTTTCTATGTATGCTATTGCTTATACTCTCATACTTAACAAATTTTTTAAAGTAGTTTTATCACTTAAAGGCATAGAGCAAATAGCTATGTAAATCTCCTTTTAAGTTTGAAGCACTTAGCATATTTTGAAGGCTTACAAGGAATAAAATGTGTAGGAGCAGGCACTAGGTATTAGGAAACACAAGTGTCATGAGCAGAGAGGACCTGGAAACCAACCATTTGGAGGGAGATAACTGAGCCCAAGAGAATGACTCACCTGAGCAAGGAAGGATTAGAATCCTCCCTCCTCTTTGACCTCCCTCAGTATCCATTAATACCCTAATATCCTTCTGATCTTTAGATTCCTTTAAGTTTGAAGGAGAAGGAGAAGGAGAAGGAGAAGGAGAAGGAGAAGGAGAAGGAGAAGGAGAAGGAGAAGGAGAAGAAGAAGAAGAAGAAGACCTACCCAGTTAGCCACTTAACTTTGAGTCACTTTTCCAGGACTTCAAAACTTGAAAAGGACTCTCTGGAGCAAAAGGCTTTCAGACTGTTTAAATAACTTTGGTGAAATGATGTTAAAAAACAAAATACAATTCTGAGTTAGAGTCAACAGCTCATGTAATCAGTTTTCACTACTAATGGCTACTTTGGCATAACTATACCTCAAACCAATTAATTCACCATTTCTCATTGGGGAAAAAGAGAAGATAGTAGAGACATTTATATTGAATCATCTTACAGTAATACTGAGAGTAGAAATAGACTAACAATAAATTCTATTTATTGTTAATTTTTGAAGCACTTACTACAAAAATTATAACTAATTAGTTTTACTAAAAATATCAAATATGACCGTCTAATTGAGATGATCTTTGTTGCCTCTTACAAGAATATGCTTTTAATTAGAATTTGTAAACTGACAGTCAACAGTAACCTCACAGAAATCCTAGGCCATATGAAATGAAACTAGAGAAACATCATCCTTACTGGCTTTTTATTTGTATGACATGGATATTAGAACTTTCCATGTGATTTTAGAAAACAAGTGTGGTATGTTTGGACATTTTAAAAAGAGTAAATCCAGAGAAAGCAGACAGAACAATTTAACTTGGGTTTCAATAAGCTCTAAGGATTCAAAATATCCAAATGTAGAAGAAACTAACTAGACTGATTTTCAGAGAGGTTTAATTCAGAATTAATGATAGGCAAATGCTAAAAATCATAAGTCTGTTTTCATTTCTGACTGATCTGGAGACATGCACTAGTAGGTTCTGAAGACATATGGTGGGGAGCAATGGAAGGTGTGTATGGTAATGGTGGTATGGGTGTTATGACTGTGTCTGAAAAATAATAAGTCCCAAGAAAGGGAAGAATCTGTGAAATGCTAATGTGGCTTAGTTGATAGTTGGTAGATGCCAAATGTATAATGTAGATAGGCATGGCAGTTGGAGATTCACATTTGACCTATGATATTATCATATTACTACTTAGGTATAAGAGACACAATTACCTCTTCCCTATGCTGAATAAAGAAAGGGAATTAAAATATGGGCCTAAATATTAAGTAGTGACTTTAAAAAAATCAGGTGAGCCAGTCCTGGGTGGCACATGCTTGTAATCCCAGTAACCCAGGAGGCTGAGGCAGGAGGATTGTAGGTTCAAGACCAGGCTCAGCAACTTAGCAAGACCCTAAGCAACTTAGCGAGGCCCTGTCTCAAAATAAAAAGCAAAAAGGCTGAGGATGTCAGACTCCCATGAGTTCAATACCTGGTACCAACAATAACAAAAACAGCAACAACAACAAAAATCAAGTAAGAAGTATATTCTGTCAACAGTTGTTATACTCAAATGATCAAATCTCATAAATAATTGGCTTGAGAATAAAATGAAAAAATTATTCTTAAATATAGAGGACCCTTTGAGGATCTCTTATAAATTAATGAACACAATTCATTCCACTTAAAATGTAGTTGATCAAATACTCTAATATACAGAACCAAAAGTCAGATCTCAAATCTTACAATAATTTCTTCTAAAGAGGAAATGTTATGCAGCATTGACTGTACAGACATTAATCAATTGTTTGGGAGCCAAAGAATTTATATTCTTAATAGTCATTCTTTTTTCTTCCTAAGATAGAAGGGTTGATATCATAGAAGATGTTATA